TGGTGCTGAGGTCTCCCCTCAGCCTTCTCTTCTCCAGGCTAAACAAGCCCAGTTCCCTCAGCCGCTCCTCATCAGGCTTGTTCTCCAGAGCCCTCCCCATCCTTGTGGCTCTTCTCTGAACACGCTCCTTTCCCTTGTGCTCCTCACACCTCTCCATAAACCCAAACAAGCACCAGCTCCAAGATAAAACCCCACCACGTAGCCTACGGTTTACCTGGTCACGTTCACACAGCAGCTACGGGATGCGGCCCGACCCCGTGTTCGAGGACCTACCTGCTCAGTGAACTCTATGACCAGGGGCAGCGCGTTGGACTTGATGAAGTTCAGTAAATTGTCCTTCGTCAGGTCCCCGTCAAAGTTGTTACGGCCTTCGTCAAACTGCAAAAGCAAACCCTTGCATCAGAGCACGGCCCCGTCCCGCTCGGCCTCTCTCAAGCACCACGACGCCTTCACAGCAGCCGCCTCCCCGGGATCTCAGCTGTGCCGGTGCAGAGCGGACCCCGCTCTCAACACCTCCACGTGCTCACATAAAACCTGGATTTACGTGGTGATTTATGAACCTGCGCTCACCTCCCCGGCAAGCAGAGCCTTAAACGCCCCCTCGCAGCAAAAGGTAAGCGGCGAGCAGAGCCCCGGCCGGGGTCTGGTGTCGCTCTGCGCGGTCACAAAATGCTTTGTGCAGGGGTCACCAAGGAGGTGGCACCAGGCAGAGCCGCCAGAAGCTGCCAGAGCTCAGGGGCGCTGGGCTCTGCAGGAGTCTGTGTTCAACCACAGGCTGAGAGCAAAGCCCGCGGCACAGCGCCCGTGAGCGGCGAATCACTGCTCTGCGGGGCCCTGTCAGACAGCAGCGCGTGTCCAGCACACACACCAGAGCTGTCAGAGCCGTTTCTGTACCAGGACATCACCTGTACCCCCAGTGGGGCTACCAGAGCCCCCCAGCAGCCTGGATCAGTGGCAGAGGAGCAGCAAGGTTAAGGAGAGGATGTGCAGTGCAGCAGTGCTCGAGCCAGCAGCAGAAACCTCTGATGGGGGAGCACATCAGTCCCAGCAAAACCTCACCTTGGAGTTCAACTCTAAAGGCTTGAGGGTGTTGAACATCGCCCCAGCGCCTCCGAGCAGCTGCTCAAGGGTCTTTGCAAGGCTGCACAGCTCACACAGGGATCAAGATGGGAACTCCCAGCCAACAAACCCTGCCCTGGTTCTCACGCCCTGGTGCTGGTTACCACTGGTGCTCATTCTCGCCCTGTTTTGGGGTGGATGTGTTTGAGAGCTGTCACGGCACAGCCATGACCCCAAAACAGGAACAAGGAGGCAGAGGAGGCTCCTCCAGCGCTGCCACAGCCCCACGAGCAGCTCCTCAGAGCCAGGTCCCCCTGCTCTAATGCACCCCAGCAGAAGGACTCCATTGCAGATGTACCCGAGCTGCTCACCCCTATGGAAAACAGCTCTGAAGATCGGTCCTGCCATGGCCCTGGTTCTTCGGGAGCAGAGGAAAGCGAAACAGAGCTCACAGGATGCAGGGGTTGGAGGGCAGCACATCAGATCAAGTCCATTTCACAGAGAAAGCGCTCAGGTAATGACCCAAAACAAAACCCCAGGCAACCTGGCAGTGCTGGACACCCCAGCTGTCACCATCTCCTGTGCTGCCCTGCTCTGAGCCCCATGCTGGAGCTCCCCGCAGCCCCAGGAGATGTCACAGCATGAGCAGCATCTGTGTTCGACTTCAGTGTTCACCAAAGGGCACGAACCACAGTTGAGAAAGCCCCTGCAAACCCCCCCATGTCAGCCCAGCACCAGCCACAGGCAGAGCACACGGGTGGCGCACAGAAAACACAACAGCCCAGAGCAAAACTCTGCTCCCACAGCCACCCCAGCTCCTCCACCCGCAAAACCTGAGCACTTCCATGTGCTATCCAGGTAATTTACTGCACCCTCGGCCTGAGGGGTCTGAGAAGGAGCCCCCAAGCTCCCAGCACCTCACAAATAACTGAGCTACAGCTGCAGAGGTAGGCGCAGCGCAATAAAACACGCTGTTTTAGCTGAACAAAGCAGGAGCAAAATACAAATCCACTCAGCTCTCCAGGTGGAACTAGTCAATGACTGCAGTTAGGCACAGGTTTAGTCAGTCTGAACCCCAAGCAGCTTTCTGTCCTGCCTCACTGCCCCATTTGTGCAGCACCGCCAGCCTCAGGAGCCTCTGCTTGCCTTAAACCTGGAGCTTCACCCCAGTGGCTTGGGTTTTAACAGTAAAAGGCATCAGTGAGTTTATGTCTGGTTCTGCAGATGGGCAGCATCCCCCTGCACCTAATCCAGCCTGGTCAGCTGGGGCTGCAAATCCTCTTAGGAACTTCGCTGGAAGGCGACGCCGCAGCGGGAGCCAGAGGAGGCCAGGGGCAGAGGTGAACCCCGAGCACGTTTAATGAACCGCGCTCAACCGCAGTCAAACACGGAGCCCCCTGGCAAACCACCAAGAGCTCGGCTGCTGCTGTTTGACAGCTCCGAGGTCCGGGGAGGGGCACGGGAGGCCCCACGAGTTACAGCCAGGAACACTTTCAAGATTGCGCTGCAGGCAGAGCTGGGGAGCGGGGAGGTGCAGCAGCTTTGGAGGCAGCGCCAGGCTGCACCTGTGGGCCCCTCCGCTGCCAGCCATGCCCGGCAAGGGCACCTGGGGCTCCGTCACCCCACGGAGGGGCTGTGAGCTCTGCGGGTCGGGAGCAGCCAGGCTGACAGCACAGGACCTGCTGTTTGGGGCCGCCCTCGTTTGAACCTGACTCGCTGGAGAAACGCTAAGGCCAGGCCCAAGGCTCAAGCGCGGTGCTCGCGCTTCGCACCAGCCGTTACCTTCTTGAAGAGGACCACGCCGTCCTTGCCGAGCTGGTACTTGGTGAACACGTCGGCACTGGAGGAAATCCCAAAGGGAATGTCGTCCACGGCTTCTGCCGCCGCCAGGAACTCCTTGGCAGCCTCCGACTCCAAATCCTGGAGAAAGAAAGGCGTCTCACATCGGACACCAAAGCTCAGACGTCCCCGGGCTCACCAGAGAACTGGAAGATCAAGTAGGGCAGGACAGCGAGCGTTTCACAACACGCAGGAGCCTTCCCAGCTGTCGGGGAAGGCCCCGAGCAAGCGAGCGC